ATCTAATACAAAACTCTGTTCGAGTTTAAAGTTACATCGGACTCTCTCATTAGATCATCAATAATAACGAGATGTGGGTTTTCACCATCAAACATATTAAGATTTGGAATTCCTTGATGATAGTTAACATTTGGTAAATTATATAAAGGTTTCATTTCATCAAAGCACCATGTGATCTGATTAAAATCACAATTACATATTTCTGTAACTGGTTTTATGAAATTTGTTACAAAATTTGACTTCCCACATCCACTTGGTCCTGCCACAATAGCAGTAAACGGATGTATAAAGTGAAACATTACACACGTCTAAAGTTCTAAGGGGTGAAATAAAAAATGAAAGTGTAAACAATTAATATATAGTGTGTACTATAACTAATGTTTTTGGGAAATCGAACAAAATTTTTGATCAAGCAATAACCACTTGTAAAAAACCGTGTGGGTTTTTTCGTCACAAGAACAATGTAAAATTTTGTGATTATTTTTTGCAAATATATGATTATTACACACATAACGTTTGTTTAAATTTATGACATTTACCAAATCATTGTATTTTGGACATTTGTATTCTTCAATATTAAAAATTCTATCATTCGTCGTCAACATTTTTAAAATTTTTTTCTGTTGAACCACCTTTGTATGCGATCACTTCGTCTTTGCACCAATTTCTAATATACCAATTTAATATGGGAATGATGTTCTCTTGTTTGTAGGCACATTTTAATTCTTCGGTCACATCAAAATATGGAATGCCGTGCACGTGTGTTTCACAATAACGAACAGTTTTTTGTCTTTTGGCGACAAATAATTGAAAGGATAACTTGGCCGAAACAAATAATGATCGATAAACGCATAATTTTTATAATGATTTCTTATATTTACGTGAACACTACACGTTGATTAAAACTACTTTTACGGATTTTATCGCGTTTTATTTATATTAATTTTAATACCCGACGTTTCGGGTGCTTTCCAGCACCCATAGTCACGGGGGACTGAGGTGACTGACGTCCCGATGTCAAAGTTAACCCGGAGTACCTTCAGCTTTTTAATTATTGTCTTTGGTCCGATCTACGCAGAATGAACTAACTGTATTTTGAAGTCTTGCAGTGGTATGCTTGGGTTTAGTTTAAATTTTATTAATTATAGGATCCCAAGCAGGTGGTAGTACCCAGCCTCCTTCTCTATTGAAATTAGGATGTTTTTTAATTTTAATAGCCTCACGTATCATCCTTGGTAGGAATCGATGTTCTTTCGCGAGGATTTGTGGTCTATCAAATCTGATGTAATGGTTGGGGCCATCTAGAATATGATCGCAAAATGCAGACCAAAGACAATAATTAAAAAGCTGAAGGTACTCCGGGTTAACTTTGACATCGGGACGTCAGTCACCTCAGTCCCCCGTGACCATGGGTGCTGGAAAGCACCCGAAACATCGGGTATTAAAATTAATATAAATAAAACGCGATAAAATCCGTAAAAGTAGTTTTAATCAATGTATAGTGTTCGCGTAAATATAAGAAATCATTATGTGAACACTACACATTGAAATAATACTAGTGTTTACGGAATTTATCGCGTATATTTAACTTTTTAAATATCCGAAGTTTCGAGAGCTTTACAGCACCCATGGTCACGGGAAGGACTGAGATGTTCAACGTCCAGCTGTCATAGTTAACCGCGGTTACCATAGATTAAAATTTAACTTTTGTTCCGATCTACACAGTATGAACTTATGGTATCATGGAGTCTTTCAGTTGTATGCTTGGGTTGGGATTTAATTTTATTTATTATAGGATCCCAAGCAGATGGTAGCACCCAGCCATCTTCTCTATTGAAATTAGGATGTTTTTTGATTTCAATAGCCTCGCGAATCATCCTTGGATGGAATCGGTGTTCTTTAGCGAGGATTTGTGGTCTATCAAATCTGATGTAGTGACGGGGGCGATCCTGTATGTGTTCACAGACTGCAGACTTCCCGGAGCGTCGTTTCTTCGGTTTTAATTGATCTTTTAGTTTGTCCTATGTAGGAGAGACCACATTCACAATCAAGCTTGTACACTCCTGCATCTTGCAGAGGGACGTTACACTTGACTGATGGTAAAAACTGACCAATCTTCTTCGGCGGCTTGAAGTATGTTTTGATGGAAGCGCGCTTCAAGATGTAGCCAATCTTCTCAGCGACTCCTCTAACATATGGCAGTACAGCAGGTACACGCTTGACTGTGGCCGGCTTCACTCGTTTTCTGTGACGTAGGAGCGGCACCCGAAGCTTGTTGTCATGCAAAACTTGCTTGACGTGTTGAAAGAAACACTCCGAAAAATTAAATCTAGACGTAAAGTGGATAATACCTACGTGCGCCAAATCACCAAAGTTGTATGGATTACCAAAAATACATAAGCCCAATGCTCCATTACGTCCCATAGTGAGCCAAATCGATTCACCAACTTACAGATTGGCTCAACACTTAGCGAAAATACTCTCACCGCTCAGGGGACATACAAGAGCACACATAAAGGATTCCTACCCTTTTGTCAGCGAGATTAAAGACCTACGTCTGGCAGACAATGAAACTATGGTCACTTTTGATGTGCAGTCATTGTTTACATGCTTACCTGTTGAAGACTGCATTTCAATTGTGACTAGAAGGATGGAAGAAAACAACATGCCCGTAGAATACGCAATATTACTCAGACACTGCCTTACATCTGGCTACCTATTGTGGAAGGAGGAGTTCTACAAGCAAGTACATGGTGTGGCGATGGGCTCACCTGTATCACCCATTGTCACCGGCAAATTCATGGAAGACTTTAAGGAGAAAGCCCTGCTTACTTCTCCCATAAATCCAAGATTCTACAAGCGGTACGTAGACAACACTTTCACAATTCTACCTTTGATAAAGTAACTGCATTTTTAGACCATATTAACTCTATAAATTCTAAAATTCAGTTCACAATGGAGTTAGAGGCAAACAATTCCTTAGCATTTCTAGATTTGTAAGTAATTCGGAATCCTGATAACACCTTGAGCCATACTGTGTATAGAAAAAAAACCCATACAGATAGATATTTAAATGGTGATTCTCACCACCATCCTTCACAGTTAGCTAACGTGGGTAAATCTTTGTTTCAGAGAGCACGAGGGATCTGTGACAGTAAACATCTGGCTGCCGAGCTCCAACACGTCAAGCAAGTTTTGCATGACAACAAGCTTCGGGTCCCGCTCCTACGTCACAGAAAACGAGTGAAGCCGGCCACAGTCGAGCGTGTACCTGCTGCACTGCCATATGTTAGAGGAGTCACTGACAAGATTGGCTACATCTTGAAGCGCGCTTCCATCAAAACATACTTCAAGCCGCCGAAGAAGATTGGTTAGTTTTTACCATCAGTCAAGTGTAACGTCCCTCTGCAAGATGCAGGAGTGTACAAGCTTGATTGTGAATGTGGTCTCTCCTACATAGGACAAACTAAAAGATCAATTAAAACCCGCGTTAAAAAACTTATAGCTGATGTGAAGAATCGACGCCCCGGGAAGTCTGCAGTCTGTGAACACATACAGGATCGCCCCCGTCACTACATCAGATTTGATAGACCACAAATCCTCGCTAAAGAACACCGATTCCATCCAAGGATGTTTCGCGAGGCTATTGAAATCAACAAACATCTTAATTTCAATAGAGAAGATGGCTGGGTGCTACAATCTGCTTGGGATCCTATAATAAATAAAATTAAATCCCAACCTAAGCATACAATGAAAGACTCCATGATACCATAAGTTCATACTGTGTAGATCGGAACAAAAGTTAAATTTTAATCTATGGTAACCGCGGTTAACTATGACATCTGGACGTTGAACATCTCAGTCCTTCCCGTGACCATGGGTGCTGTAAAGCTCTCGAAACGTCGGGTATTTAAAAAGTTTAATATACGCGATAAATTCTGTAAAAACGAGTATTATTTCAACGCATAATTTTTATTAGATAGTTTTAGTCTAGAATAGCCATTTTTCCACATTGAAAATGTTTATGAGGATATGTAATGTAAAATCCGTCCATGTCGATGATGTATCTAATATTTTTTAGATTTCGTGTCATTTTGAACCAAAATGTTAAAAGTATTTACACGTGACTAAAAATATGTTTGTTCCAACAAACTTCACATAACAATTCTTCATTACTTCCCATCATCCCATTTCTTCCTTCTGCTCTTGTCTTCCTGTAATTTAAGTAAACAGAAGCACATTCACTAATGGTCATCTAATGATTGTCATTGTTAAAAAGTATTTTCTAACTTTTTCACTTTCTGCTATATTCTTTGTATTTATGGCTAGGAAATGTCCGCGGCGCTGCCTCAATGCGTGTTGGCGAACTTCACATGCCTTCGAAATTTTCTCAGACATGTAGGTTTCCTCACGATGTTTTCCTTCACCGCCGAGCACGTGGTAAATCAGCACTCAAAATTGCAAATAACAATTTAATTGGTGCCCGCGGTGTCGAGCCCGGGTCGCGTACTGTGAAATTTACAGCTTGCGCTAACCATCTGAGCTACCACGGCTTAATCATATACACACACAATATTTAAATATACGGTTCATAACAGAACGCGAAATGGGAATATTATTCATACCCTGTGGATATGTGGTTTGTTGCCTTAAATGTGTGCCCCGTATGGAATTTTTCGCCATATGTCGAAAACGCGTTAAATTAACACTTCGACTAGAGCAAGATTATGTTGATTCAACAAAAAAAGTGTTATCAATTGTCATAGACTTCTCAATGATAAGTTCATGAGGTCAACTTCGCTTGCAAAAAATAATGAAGATAACGAGACTTGCTTATGTTCCTACGTGAACATGGGTCAACCGTTTCCCCAAAACAATGACGCAATAACATTTCCAATAAATTAGTGGAGTAGGGGAGGGCACTTATCGCATGTAGTTTATCAGCGGCGTCGGCGAGTATCCACTTCAGTTGTTCGTTTGCACTCACACGCTCCTGCAAAATGGCGGAGTTTCTTCACATCGTTCTCTCAGTGTCGTTATTTTATACCTTCATCGCAGGGGGGGCGTGCAGTGAAGACCTACGTTTCTGTGCTACCGTCCACATATCGCCAAGTGCTTACCTCGTCCCAACACAGCACTTGGAGTGGGGAAAGTGGATTGAGAGTTATTATCATACGGCAGACGCTGAAGCTCCGACCGCAAGGACCAGCCCGATAAAGTTTTGCACCTCGGGACGAGAGATGTCTCCGTCGGGCACAGAGGGACGCGTTACTGTGGTACCGCTCAATTTCGGATACAACTCCGACACCAACACAAAGTTCACCATCGAGTGGGATCGTCCATGGTCAGGACGCAGTTATGTGAGGGAGATATATGACGAGAATGTTTACGACGTGGAGAAAATTAAGCTCGGTCCCTGGCAATATAGATACAACCTGATCTATAAACCGCTCTCGAAGTAAAGTGCCGTCGTCCCACGTAGAAGAAGTTTTTTTTTTATATCGTGTCGAAAAATATAACTAGAGTAAAAACATTTCTATTGTGTAAGTAAAATTGCATGCAATGTTTGATATAAAGCAAAGAATTTACATTTTAATTTTTATTAACCTTTGTTCCCAATTCCCACCACTCTTGTCCTTAATAACCTGCGCGGCCTGCCGCAGTAGAGGTAAGTAAAAAAATTATTAAAAAAGAGGAATATTTTTTTTATATATATATATATATATATATATATATATATATATATATATATAGATACATATAGATATAATTGTAATGCTATCTACACGGCGTTTGGTAGGTTAAAAGGTGCGGATACACTGTAATTTTTAGCGCCGGTAGCGTTATATTTTTATAATTTTTTTAAAGTTATTAGATTGCGTATCGTTGTGAATATCATCAAAATTGTTCTCTGTGGGCGTGGACACGGGCCGACTTGAACGACGAGACGCGACGCCACTTGTGACCGGTCTCCGTCGCCCTACCACTGAATAAATAATAGGCCCTATGCACATGCAATTTTCTGCGGGCCTCTAGCTGCCTACTGCAAACCAGAACTATAAGATTTTTTTTAGTTTATCACGAAAAAAGTAACGTTTATAGTGCAAAGAAAGATCGGATATTTACAAAAATTATTTTTCAGTAGATATTTTCTTCATAAGTCGATTTGTTTTAGAAAACCAATTATCTTCCGTAAAATTTAAAGATTTTAAGTTAGAGTATCGATCTTCAGCAGGTATATTATTGGTTTTCGTGTATGCGTAGATATATGGATGTAAAGAAGGCGAGAGAGGTATGTCAGGATCGTGCCAAATGGAAGTCCGTAGTCTCTGCCTATCCCTCTAATAATAATTGTGAAATAATATAAAATTACATAAAGTAATTTAAAATAGTCTGAGTCAATGGAAACTTACTATAGGTACAAAATTAAATTGTTACTCGTATGTACCGGTGGCACTCAATATATCTTCTTCCTTTTAACTACTAAATGGTCGAAAAATTAGTATAGCCATTAGTTGAACAAACATGAGCACGAATAGGCAATAAATCGTTTTAATATCACTGAGTTGCCTCCTCATAAAGTTCTAAGTGACTTACTTTCACCGGACTTGTACAAAGATTAATTACTTGATTATTTCGTCATAGTTAGAATAAGAATCTTATCTTATAAATTAATAAAATGACACGTTCGTTAGAATGCGCTTCAAGCCCGGGTTCTTTAATGAGCGAGCGGGCGTCGTTTTGATATTATATCATAAAAAGTATTTTGTGACAAGCATTTTATAATCACTTATTTACTTGTAAAAAACATAAATTCTCTCTGAGGCAGTTCGATGGATAAGTATTACAGAATTTTGATCATTTCAGCATAAGTCTACTGCTGAAAGTAGTCGTCCCCAAAGCACGGATTAAATAATAGTACTACGTACAGAAGTTGCAATCCTTTGATATTGACTGCTTACCGACGCTTAATATCCTACATAATTATTATTAATTAGATAAATCGCGCACGCAAGCTAAATAAAACTTTATCGCTGCGTCCGAGTGTCCGTATATTTTGCATCTTTTCCCCTTCTTCCGTGACGGCGGACTTTCCGTGGTTACAAAGGTCTGGCAATAAAGATAAAAAAATACATTGCGAAATGTTAATTAACTTAGTTAGGACTATTTTTTTACGTGGCAGCATGGATCTATATCACAATTTGTGGTTGCAGCACAAATGTGTGCTCGACCGGGGTAGGACAAGGCTCTCACAAAATACCAGCGTAAAATAGCAGCTTAATGCTGCTGTATTTCGTATGGTGTGTGTAGAGAATTGGAGAGCCTTTTCATTGGAAACGAGGCATTTCATCTCAGTCCTCAGGGCTGACAACGCACCTGCATTTTGATTCTTAATTAAAGATAAATGTAGATAACTGTGAGCCGCAGCATCCACTTACCATCAGGTGGACTGTGTGCTCATATACAAATGAGCACACAGTCCACCTGATGGTAAGTGGATGGATCCTCCGATAAAAAAGTGAAATACCTATACCTATACTGATTATGATCTACTGACCATATTTTCGCACCTATGTGAGTTCTGCGATGCCCAACGCAAGCGATTTCGGGGATCGCAATGTTGAAATGCGATTACTAACAGAAATTTGATCGTATTCTAGTTAGTTAAAAATCTTGTTAGTAAACAAAGTTTTTAATTTCAGTATTTTGCATTATTATAAATTTAAATATTTTAATTAAAAAAGAGAAGTATAGGTATGTAAGTAGATACATGTATCGTGAGGTAAGTTTCAACTTAGTCTTATAATAAAGTACTTAGGTATATTACTTCTGTAGACAAATTATTATTACATTCTTTTTTGGTATAAGTACCTATGCAACAAAAACATTATATAAATACACCTGTTCGAGCAATAATGTAATGCATTTGTGTTGTATGTAAGATAAAGAGTAAGCATGTGTGAGTTAGGTTTTTAATATTTTGATAATTGAATCTTCAGTAGCAATTAAAACACCGTATCATTGACACCTTGAACGAACCACTGGACCCGACATAAAACACAAATGTATGAAAACTTGTTCAACCAAGTGGAGAATAACGCCCACAACGATTTTATTACGTTAATATAAACACAGATAAGAAATTCGTAGAAATTCTCTCTATTTCTAGTGCTTGAACGTAGTCGATAAAATATATCGATGAACGACTGAAAAAGAAAAGTCGTATCGTAAATAAGCTGTAAGACAAAGGAAATAACGGGATAATGAAGGTGAGGTAAGATTCTGGTATTTAAATTTTAATTAAAATAAAAGAAGCAGGACGTTGTTATGGACTTTTTGTTCAATTAGTTATGATAAACGTCAAATTTTTTGTTAAGTTTAAATTATTTAAATAGGTTTACTGACTTTTATTATGTATCATCTTTCTTAAAATGTGTTTCTTGTATTTGTTTTGTTCACTTGTTTTCTTATATAAGCAGTACTAATATTTATATACTTTCTAGCAACGGCTTTCGTTAATTCTTTGACGTGATTCACGTCGTCGTTTTCAAATTTATGGAATGTCTTCTTGGATTATGGAATGAATGTCTTCGTACATCAGAAGTTGCAGCAATGTTTCTATTACTATCGGCAGGAGAAAGTACGTTGTGTCATCTTTTTTTTAGTCTTTTATTCTGAACACCCTTCGTAAATTCGAGTTCGCAGTGCTGACAAATAGCTATGGTATCACTTGAGGGAAGTATCAGCTTTCCCTTGTCTTTATGGGCAATGAGACTGCCTTCATTGGTGTCATTTTGTGTTTCTTTGCATTAGTATTAAAACAGGCAGTATCGAAATGTACACTGCATATGTCGCTGTGTTTCGTCGGGATCCAGGTTTCACCTCTACGAACTGCTTCTACCCACTTTTTTTTCCGAGAGGAGTCACTAGGAAATCTGAAAATTCGTGTAATTTATGTGTTTAAATATTTTGGGTACAGATACTAATTATAATTTTTGCATTTATAATATTTTTATTTAATTATAAAAATTACTATTATAAATTTAATGACATCAGACTGTAGGATACTGTTACGAGTATATAGGTATTTTTAAGTGTTATTGTATTGTACAATTTACATCATCATTCATTCGGTCATATCGTCAAATATCGATATATTTTTCAACATGGTCAAGCACTAGTCGATGTCAAATTGACTCACTCCACAGTTTTAGTCATTTGTTCTAAATGGTATAATCCAGCTATTTTGTGATGGTTATCAGATGTGAACAATACATAGATATATCGACTATATTTAACATAGTTGGATAATACAAAATTTTATTTTACATTTGATTAAATTTTGTGATAAATAACAATAAATGTAATAAAATAATGTACTTACAAGTGAAAAGAAATAGTGCTGCTTCCGCCGATATAGTTTTTACACCATTTAACGGAATATTTAGTCATTTTTGGGAGATGTTTTGTTGACAAGTAAGTGCTCGAGACTGACGCAAAAACAAACGACCAGGAATTGTTAAATTACCACGAATACAACTGCCTTCTTTCGTCGGTATTTACGAAGAATGGCCTGCATTTCAAGATTTATTTATTTCGTTAGTGCACAATAACTCATCTCTTAGTAAAGTACAAAAACTTCACTATTTAAAGAGTAGCCTTACAAGTGAAGCCGAATCTTTATTGAAGCACATGCAAGTAACAGAAGACAATTATGATCAGCCATGGTTGATGCTTAAAATTCGTTACAGAAATAAACGTATAATAGTAAACTCTCTATTGAAAAGATTATTTATGCAGAGGAAAATCCCTTCCCAAATTGCAAACTATATAAAGGCACTTCTCGATACCACTACACTACAGAATGCATTAACAGCTTAAAAAATCTCAAAATTTCAACCGACTCTTGGGATCCGTTAATTATATTTCTCGTTGTGCAGAAATTGGACCCAGAGACGCACAGAGAATGGGAGGAGTTTGCTTACCGGGAAAATTCCGACAAATTACCCTTTGGGCGGATCTCTGTAAGTTTCTTCAATCGAAATTTCGTACATTAGAGCTAATCACACCTTCACCTAGGTACAAGATTATAAGATGTAAATTAAATACGCTACATGTTGCTACTGCGGCTACGTCTAAATTAAGAAGTTGCCTAATGTGTAAAGAAAATCATACCCTGTGTCATTATAGGGAATTTACTAAGATGGAACCCACAGAAAGGAACACATTAAAGAAACAAAATCTTTGTTTTAATTGTATGGCCCCAGGACACTCTGAAAAAAAATGTCGCCTTAACATGTCCTGTCGAATATGCCACAAACGTCACCACTCTTAGAGCACCAAAACATGGTGGCGTCATCAAATCGACCAGGCAATGACCAAGCGCACGAAGAGAAGAATAATGATTAAGGAGGCTCTTCAAATCCAACAATATCAATTCAGTTATCATCACACTTTGCTA